GCTTCAGCAAGAGACCTGTATAAATAGAGGGAGAATACCTAGAGTGAGAAAGGACTTCAGGGGGTAACCCCATACAGTTCCAATCTTCAGACTGGTGCTGCAAAATTAAATCCACCTTACTGATGACTCACTGAGAGATTGGATTACTAAGGTCACAAAATTAATTCTATCTAATCACTTCTTACTGAGCCCCTACTATGTGCCAGGCACCATGCCAAGTGCTTGCGGATACAACAGTGAAAGAAAAAGGCCTTTCCCAGGAAGTATAGCCTGGTGGGGCAGCCAAATATTAAACAGATGATCATAATGACAAGCATTATGGTGGAATGTTGTAGGGCCATGAGGAAAGAGAAGCCAGGCTCTTTCCTTGCTCTGCCACACTAGCAATGGAGACATCTCCCTCTTTGACACTGGCTTGAGGGCTGTTTTCCCTATCAGTCAGGAGGATAGCTGGTGGATCTGTGAACCCATGAATACTGTGCTCCCTCTCCACCTGTGAAATGAAAGGCAGCTTTTACTCATCTCACTACAGCATTCAGAAGTAGCTCAGTCCAGACTTATGTATTATACTTAATAAGTGTGTTATGTATTGTAACAAAAACATAGTGTTTATATGAAGCATTGTTCTCAGCACTTTACAGAAGTCACTAATCAAAGCAAAATTTAAATAATCTGATGAATTCAAAGCTCTGGTTTGTTTATATAGTCGATGGCATTTAAAAAAATGGCCATGGAAGATCAAATGTATGCATTTAATGAATATTTATTGCTTTTTAAAAGCAAGAACAATTATGATTTTTTTGAGTGCTTGCTATGTGCAAAGCTGGGCTAAGTGGTTTGCACGTGCTGTCTTATTTAATCCTCTCAAACAACTCTAGAGACTGGTGTTTCTCCCACTTTACATATAAGAAATGAACTCAGAGAGGTTGAATGATTTGCCCATGGAATCAAAACTAGTGAATGGCTCAACCCAGAGTCAAAATGTGGATTGTCTGAGTCCAGAATTAGAACTTGGAAACACTGCACTATATTTCCACTTCTAAAAGAAAACAGATATGCTTCCACGTGTTGATCGGGCTACTATTCAAAACAGACAAACAAACAAACAAAAAATTCTCAGAACTGGTGATTCCACAGCAAGTTGGGTAAACAAACAGATGCTGTGGCGTAGTGTCAAGGGAGGGATGCAGCTAATTTCTGAGGAGGCGAGTAAACAAGGTTGGCATTATCTGGGAGGCTTTATGGAGAACGTGAGAAAACTGGCCCTTCAAGGACAAGGTGGGGTAATCAGAGCAGTGTCTCAGGGCTTCCCTTGAATGTGCAGCCTAATAAACTGCAACCCGCTTGAGCTGCCTCCTCCATGTCACCATTAATTGGGAAATAAATTGGAAATGAAGGCAGCTGTACTTTATACCTCTCCACTTTACAGCTCCATAGCTAAGGGTAAGAGTTTTCTGGGAAAAAAAGATTGTTGTTTTTCTTTTCATTTTTTTGTATTTTAATTGAAGCTAATTTATACCTTGACTATTAATGACCTTAATTAAGACTCTGCAGGCAGTCAAAGTTTGGGGTTCAACTATCCTAATATAGCACAACACTGAGGAGTCACACTTTATAAGCTGATGCAGATGTCCAACCTGCCTCACCTACCGCAACCAACCGCAGCCTCAGCCTGATTAGATATTCAGCAGTGGCAAGATGATTAGGCTTACCTACGGAAAGTTCATCACTCATGTCTATTCCACATCCACTGTGAGGGCAGGATACTTTTTTTAGGCATGGCTATTTGCTGTGTTTTCTCAGCCCGCTAGCACCTTTATGTTTCCCACTGCATTTGTAGCCTGTCGTGACAATCACCTTGCATAGCACTTCTGCTTCCCAAGTTCTTCCTGCATAGTCAGTTGATCTCCCAAAACTTTATTCTTAACAGTTGAAGAAAACTAGCTTGGGATGGATTAAATCACTGTTCCAAGGTTAGAAATAAGAAACAGGGCAACCAGTAGTCCAGTCTTTTCACTCCAAGTCCATTTTGTTTTCTGGAGGCTGTTATTGCCACGGGGACCAGCAGCCGTGCTGTCTTCTTCACCACTGTGGCTACAACACCTGGCACAGCGCCAGACACACACTAGTGCCTGTTATGTATATTTTGTAAATTTTTGATTAAAAATAAATTATAAAGCTTCAAGAATTATCTAACAAATCTTGGGTTTCATAAATAACACAACAGAAACCCACTAAAATCAGATGAATTATCCAACTTAGAACAAGTTGCCATACTAAGAGTCCACTGTTCCCATTATTTTTATAATGCTTGTTATTATTGATCTGTATTCTTACCTCAGCCAAGTCTGATGTATATAACTGTTCTTAACATAGTTGCTCAATAGAAAAACAAATATCCTGGTGCTTAGAGAGGGGGAGACTCCTGAACAACTGTCATGTGTAGCGGCCAAAGGAATTTTGCTAAGCAGTTATTTTCTAGGTAGTTAAAAGAGCAAACAACCCAGAGCAGAAGGGAAAATAACAACACTCTCTGAAATAATGAAGAGTGATATGTTCCCCCACTTCTATCCGCTTTACTTTCCTTGAGTGTTGTAAAGTCACACTTCTCTCCCCCAAGCTTTGTGCTCTAATGATCAAACTCCATCACTTAGTAACTGTGTGACTTTGTGACATTTGATGATGCCTTCACTTTATAACCTAGGAATGAATTCCTTTTTCAAAAAGATGGTCGTGAGCATTCAGTTAGACAGTTTCTGCAAAGCCCTGGTACATGAGACATGACTTTAAACATTTGTTTTCTTCCCTAGGGCCATTGAATCCATCACTAAAGCCATTACCTGGCCCTTCCTTGAGAGAAGTGTTTCTAAAATCATTGGGTTTCATTTCCAAATCTTATAAACTTTAAATATTAATCTTAAGAAAATATATTTGTTTAATATGTCCACTAAGCAAAATACTACCATATACCAAACCTACAGAAAATCTAATCAGCGGGCAGAGATTAATTGGTCAATTACTAGGTTCTAGCATATTTTATAGGTTCTGTTTCTCAAAATATTTTAGATTTGAATTTAAAATACAGGGTCATTAAACCACATTTGAAAGCTAATTGTTACTATATAATCTTAGCAACCTTCTTTTTGCCTTCTGCATAATTCATGAAGCTCAGACCATTTTATCTTCCAATTAAGTGTTTGGTTATATCCCTTGCTTCCATATATCATCAGTATCTACTATTGATCATTTTTATTTTATTTATATTTCAACAACTTTACTGGCAATTGGTATATCATGATTCTCCATCAAAATAAATGTACTCTGTTATTAATAATAATGTGTTGCAACTAGGTTTTACTATCTGTAGCAATTGAAGGCTCTTAAAAATAAGACACACAAATCTTCCCTTCTTAATAAAACAAAAAAACATTATCACAGTAATTTAATATTTGGGCATCATGGTGTCAGTATTAATTCTTTCCTTTTAGCTTTGCCAAGAAGCTAAAATCATCCAAGAGATAAAAGAGGTCACCATATCTACAGGACACCCTCCTACTCCCTGGGCTCAGAATTCAACTTAATAGAGCCAACTTTGGGCTAACTCACTTCTTGAATCCTGCCTCCTTCCATTCCTTCTCAGGTCAATCCCTCACCCCACTGACCCTTCCACCATGCACAGTTTTGCCCAGCTGTTAATTTTCAAGTCCCTTGTTCTGAATTCTATTGTATTTTGGCAAGTCACATGATGCCTGAATTTCTATTGTTCAAAACTCTTCTTTTATCCTATTTATATTGATATTGCAAATTTAGGGTGATATCTCATAATCATGGGTGTTAAGAAACAATTAAGTGAAGTTATAGGAAAAGGTTTCTGGTATATGTAGCAAGTGCTTAACAAATGTTATCTACTGGTTTTAGTTCTAGTTTTAGCATGAATTCATCTATAATTAGGCTACTATCATGAGCATAACTCAGTAATTAATCCCTTAATACTATTTCATACCTAGCACAGCTTAATTTTGTATTTATTCATATCAGAACTGTAAATTCTTTAAAGAGTGCCACGCCTTCTATTTCTCTGTATGCCCTAAGTGGTAGTAGCAGCAGTCTATTATATCTATTATATCATTACCTTATTAAAGAAGTGCTCTAAGGTTGGATTATTATACCATTTAATAGATGAAGAAACTGAAACTAGCATAGTTTATAGTGATGGAGGCACCATTCACATTAGGAATTCACCCAAGTTCACTTAGATAGTAAGTGGCAGAACCAGGATATGCACCCAGACACATGGATCCCAAACCCACATACCCAGCTGGTATGTCCCTCTTTCTCCCTCATCTCTTGAGTGGCCACTTTGAAACAACTTGGTAATTGCAATGCTTTTTATTTTTTAAATTTTTTTTTCAACATTTATTTATTTTGGGGACAGAGAGAGACAGAGCATGAACGGGCGAGGGGCAGAGAGAGAGGGAGACACAGAATCGGAAACAGGCTCCAGGCTCTGAGCCATCAGCCCAGAGCCCGACGTGGGGCTCGAACTCACGGACCGTGAGATCGTGACCTGGTTGAAGTCGGACGCTTAACCGACTGCGCCACCCAGGCGCCCCTGCAATGCTTTTTAAAAGAAGATCATTAGAATGGCAAACATCAGAGTGCCTCTGATTTTTGAGCATCAAAAATAAACCCATTAGAAGATATTTGTGATATAGTTAAAATGTGAGACACTAGCCTTGATCAAGCTACATTCTCATCTCAGTTCATAGCCTGATGATCCTCAGTGATCTCAAATGGCTCTAAATGATGTACTGATTTGGGTTTAGTCAGATGATGAGCGATATCTGTTTGTCTGTTATCCTTCTTAGATAATGTAGCCTCAAAGCCGGTTCTCTTAACACTCTGATAAATATTACCTAGATCACATATCCTAGCACCTTGCATAATTAGGAGCAATAAAGGCTTACTGTTTTATCTTATTCGATTCTTCTCCCTTGCAGATGGACCCACATGAGAACATCTTACTGAGCACTCTTGAGATAAAAAACGAAATGGCCACATCTGAGGCTGTGATGGGACTTGGAGACCCCAGGAGCACAATGTTGGCCTATGATGCCTCCAGCATCCAATATCGGAAAGCCGGGTTACCCAGGCATAGTTTTGGCCGAAATGCTCTTGAGCGACATGTGGCACAAAAGAAAAGCCGCCTGCGGAGACGTGCCTCCCAACTGAAAATCACCATCCCCGACTTGACTGATGTGAATGCCATAGATCGGTGGTCCCGCATATTCTTCCCAGTGGTTTTTTCCTTCTTCAACATCGTCTATTGGCTTTATTATGTGAACTAAAACATAGCCTCCCATGGGAAGCAAGGACTAGATTCCTCCTCAAACCAGTTGTACAGCCTGACGTAGGACTTGGAAAACACATCAATCCAGGACAAAAGTGATGCTAAAATACCTTAGTTGCTGGCCTATCCTGTGGTCCATTTCATACCATTTGGGTTGCTTCTGCTAAGTAATGAATACACTAAGGTCCTTGTGGTTTTCCAGTTAAAATGCAAGTGATTTGTATACATGCTGGCAAGACTGTCTGAGTGTTCCACTTTATCTGCTGATGCAGCCTATATAGAGGGCAGTTATTTAGAAGATATTTTGAGAGGGCTCAGTAGCATTGCCAGTCATTTTGCTGAGAAGTGGTCATATCCAGATACTCCCCATCTTCATTTCTAAGGTTGGCATGCTGTTGAGATGGCACTGTGTTTATGAAACATCTGCAATGCCATGCAAACATGCTTACTGAAGATGACCTATGCCTGTCTTAAGGTGATAATGGTGTGTCATGGGAAGATAGTTCCCACTGGATTCTAGAAGGTTCTCATGTAGTTCAAACAGGATAGGCAGAGTGAAGACAGAGACTTGGTAACCAATTTGGCCAGTCTCTGCTTGAGCACAGGGAGTCAACTCTGATGTCTTCCATTTTGACATTTCTAGAAACTGGGGACTACTAAACATTATCATGCGTGGTGGCCAAGAAATGTTTCTAAAAAGCTATTTCTTGTTGGTTAAAATAGAGTTAATAATCCAGAAAAGAGTGGAAAATCCAGAAACAAAGGTTGTAACAAAATTAAAGCAAGCGAGCAGCATGACCCTTACCAGCCCCACACAGCATCTGGTCCATACATATTTTGTATAATGGCAAAAGGTCAGTGAGAGAGATTTTTTTCCCCCACTTCACAGGCTTTTGACAGCACACCTAAAGAGGTTTTTATAGTTTATCTAATCAAAAGACAACCACAAAATAGAAAAGCTAGCAAAATTAGAAGTATCTTAGATGCAGGTTAGATTGGGAGTCATTCAAATATACTAATATAGAGCACAGATAAAGCTAGGAGACAGGTTGATTTTCTCAGACAATGTCAGCTGTCTCTACAACATTTCCCTTAAGTTTATTTCTGAATTTAATAGGGTATTTCAAAAGAAGGATTTGTTCATTTCTTTAAAGGATTAATGGTCCTTTGCCAGCTTTTCTTGTTTCTGAAATCCTGATTATATTCTTAGGAGACAAAGCAAGGCTTTGAAGAGATTGATTGAACTACATTTCCTTATGTGCAATGACATTCACCTTTGTATTTTTCATAGCAAACAATACTTAAAGGGTTATGTGCACAAGTAGAGTTAGTTTGTGGGTTTGTTGGATTTGACTTTTTAAGGGTGCTTTCATTGTATATGTTGCGATCGGCTGGATCAAAGAAAACATGAAAAGTAGTGTAGAATAGGATAACAACAAAGCCACATTAACATGATGAATGTTATGAGCCTCAATTGATATTACAGAAAAATATATAACTGATCAGCAGGCATGATGTATTGTTTTTATTCATTTTTTAAATTATGTCAGTGTGCTTCTTTCTATGATAATTGGACATATGCATTCATATGTGAGACAGTAAAGAGAATAAGCTAATATATTTTATTTCTATCAATGTGAGGTCCATATTTTGCTTTTCTTGGAGAAAATAGTGAATTGCTAATTTCTCCTTAAAGTTTGATTTGATTGAATGTTTTCTTAGAGGATGACTTTGCTATTTCTATTTTAAAGACAAGAAACACTTATTTTCAAAGTAACATCCCTAATTGTGCATAGTAGGCAAGGCCAGTATTTGCCTGTGGATAAAATGTATGTTTTTTTCCCCTGATAATTCAGCAGCTTGGAATATGACAGAGTCCTGCTGCCCTCCTATTCCAACTATCAGACAGAGAGGGGAAAAAAAAAAAAAAAAGGTTTAGCATTCAGCTTTCTAAATTCTATGCTCCAAGATGGGAGGTATTTTTTTTTCCTTCACCAGCAAAGGGAGCTCTGGCCTTTATTTTTTGATTATACATTTGAACACTTCTGAGTATGATCTTTGGGCAGAATCCAACCAAGTTTCTGCCCATGGGCTCAGAGTAAAAATTTCTCAATTTTCTCCAGGTACATGCTTTCACCTAGGCAATCATTTTGGGGCACACACTAATAAAAGTTCCTGTCCCTTTTCGCCAGGGGTTAAAGTTTGAGTAGCATATATCAGGAAGGAGCATATCGATAACTCAGGTGCACAACTCCAAAATGCCATCCTAGAAAGGTTTTCTAGAGACAACTCAGAGCCCAAGTCTAGCAGTGGGCTCTTATTTGCAATTATCATAAAAGCCATAAAAATCCTTGATATTGTCATTTATGGTTACAACAAAATTTCAATGTCCAGGGAAGTCAACATGGTAATCTAGATCAAAGTGAGAGAAGAAACTTTGCAGCATGAGCCTCAAAAGCGTATGACCAAGGATTCATTTCTGTTCACAGTGATAAGAAGAAACCAGAAAAAGGAGAAAGATGGGAGCTTCAAACAGATGCCCTAGAACGAAATCCATATATTGGCATTCAATAACCATGTAGGTAGAAACAAATGACTCATCCTGCCCAGAGAAACAGTAGATGTAGATTTTATTTTTAACTATATTTTTACTGTAGTTGAATTGGACTGTAGTCACCAAACTGGGGGTGGGTTAGGGAGGGGTGCTAGATCTCATAACTCTATGAAAACCAGTCAGCTTGGTATCCAGTGGTTAAATTTAAGGACCACAAAAATGTGTTTTGGCAATTCTGATATGGTATTAGTATCACTTTATACATATATATATATATATATATATATATATATATATATATATATATATATATATATATATATATATATATATAGTTTTCCTTTTGATTATGAAACAGCCAGATAGCCAGCAATTAAGGTGTTTTTCATCTTTGTGAAATTCATAGGCAAATTCTGACTCTAAAATGCACAGTCTAAATGAAATCTTTGATCTCAATCTGTATATATATATTGTACATGACTGCTAGTAGGTATGAAATGCATTTTCAGAATTGAAAACTCATGCAACATAATCATGTGTTTGCATAAGGAATGTTACAATTCTTTCTACTGCAATTTAACAACAGGGGAAAATACTTAAGCAGTGCCATCTAGACCTTTTATCTTCTCATGTCTTCAAAAGCAGTGCTAAGTAAAAATAATAATAATAATAATAATAAAAATGGTTTATGAACCAAAAGACTTTACATTCTAGTATTAGGAACACAAAAAGTCTGTCAGCTTATAAAAGCACAACACATAGAGAAAGTTCAGTGGAATGCAGTGGGAAAATGAATCATGTTCATTTTAAGCAAGACCTGCATTAAATTGGCAACTAACACAATTTCCATTTTCTGTAGGTAACTGTGTTCCAGTCTTATGACTAAGTTCATACTAAACAACAAAAACAGCAAAACAATCAACAACAGGTCTTACAACATATCTACATGTATATATGTGTATATATAGATCCATGTAAACAGAAATACATATATATGCATTCATATGTTGGAAAACAAAAGGAATAAGCTAATATGTTTTATTTCCTTCATTTAACCAATGTATGAGTATTTTTAATTGGCAACCAACAAATCAACCTATTGAAACTAATAATACAGGGTACTGAGCATTTCTCTATCAGCAGATCAATGCCTACAGTTCTTATGAACCATTGCACAGTTTGACACTACAATAGTACTGTACCTCAGAACATCGGGAATTAACTAGTTCTCACATTGCTTGTCTACTTGCTCTCTTTTTCAAGAAAACAAATAACATTGTCTATTGGTGATTTAAAAACAAAGTCTTAAAACAGAAAATGAAAAAAAAATCCTCCTTGAAGGAGGAAAAAAAAATAATAACCCCACCATGTTGGTTAGGGCAAATACTCTCAACTGTAGCAATCATGCCATTTTGCTAAGTGTACAGAGTCCATGTAATGTGAGCAACCATAACTTTCACTGAGCGTGTGTAAATATTAAAACAGATTTCTTAAATATTTTTAACTTCTAATTTGTATTTTATGGTAAGGCAATGTGCTAATTCTGTTTATGGCTTATGTTTATGTGTTATAATATTATGTAAATAATTCAACATGCTGTAAATGAATAGTCAATAGATACAAATAATTGTTTAATTCTTTTTCTTAATTTTTATTTATTTTTTACTAAGTACAGTTACTGCAGTGCCCCAGCAGAGTAATTTAAACACCCTTTTGCATAAATGGTTTGGGATCCCAGACAGAAGGGTTTCAATTTGCTATCACAGACATACACACATACACACTCACACACTCTCTCTCACACACACACACACACACACCTACACACACACACACACACTCACACTCACACTCTCACTTTCCGCTCTCTCACTTCCACTCTCATCCCCTTTATGGGAAATGCTGTAGTGTTTATGTAGTCAATGTAACAGCCAAGAGATAGCCTTAGAAATGGAAATGGGAAAAGCAGAAATGATCATTGATAACTTGATAGATTTTTTTATATGTCAGAGTTCAAGACACCAAAGGTTGTAACTTAAATCTCAATTTTAAAAGAGTAAAAGTTTATATTGATGGCACTACAGGAAATAAAAGTGCTTATTATTCATACCTGTTCCAGAAATTTATTACACATAATACACATGAGACTTTTTTTTAATAATAGCATTTTGTCTTTAGATAGTATTATTCCTTTTAACCAAAGACTCCAGAATTATTAAAAAACAAAAAAAAAAAAA